CATGTGGATTCACTTAAGATTTTTACTTCATTTGATTCTACATTTTCTTTCCCATATAGTGCCACTCCCCCCCTGCACGATCTGTTCTGTCCTTCCGATAGTTTGTACCCCGGAATTATTGTGTGCCATTGATTGCTCTCAGTCCACCAGGTTTCTGTGATGCCTATTATATCAATATCCTCCTTTATCACAAGGCACTCTAGTTCACCTATCTTATTATTTAGACTTCTAGCATTTGTGCACAAGCACTTTAAAAACTTGTCACTGTTTATTTGTCTGCCCTTTTCTGATGTCAGATTCTTTTTTATATGAATGTGGCCCTTACATTATCCTCTTTCATCCTCTTCTCCTGACTATAACCTAGAGATTCTCTATCATTAGACTCTCCCCTAAGAGAGGTCTCTGTCCGATCCACATGCTCCTCTGCAGCAGTCGGCTTTCCCCCATCTCCTAGTTTAAAAACTGCTCTACAACCTTTTTAATGTTTAGTGCCAGCAGTCTGGTTCCACTTTAGTTTAGGTGGAGCCCATCTCTCCTGTGTAGTTTGGTTTATAGGTTTTAAGGGGAATAAAGAGAAACAGAACCGGCAAGGGACCCTCGCTCCCTTCCCACTCCCCTTCCAAACTCCCTTGCGAAACTCCCTTTTAGCAGCCCCTGTTCACAAAGCAGCAGCCCCTGTTCGCAAAGCCAGTGAAGCCATTCTGTACCACCACCAACAGAATATAGCCACAAAGCTAGCTTATGTGACCCCAGGAGGGTTATTCAGTGTCAGGGAATCTTCTGCAGTGTAGCTCCTATGTCACTCCTCCCTTTCTGCTGCCAGCACAGAGGAGAGAGGGTGGCTTGGTGGAAGCAAAAGGGGTGCAGCTGAGGCTTTTCTATGTCTTGCTGATCCCTGGCCATCATTCTGCTCCATGTGGGTTATTAACAGCTGTAGCAACCTAGTAGCAATCCCAAAGGTTGCTCCTAATTTACATTAAAAGATTGGCTCCAAAATGAAAAATAAACTTTACACTAACTTTGTGCACATGCACACTCATACATCTCTGTCTTGCGTGCTCCTTAGCTGCAACTGAAGATCTGACCCTTATTGCAAATTTTTGCCCTTATAGTGAGGAAAATATACTAAACCCAGAAAAACAAAGAGACACTTTCCCCCAAAACCCTCGCACTGCTATTTTTAGCACATGGACAGAGTACATGGATGGAAGTTACGCTAGTCTGACAAATATACCAGTATAGTTTCTCATGTCCACAATTCATGAACTAAAAAAATTTACACAATCAATTATAATTATGTCTTTGAAGTAGTTTTTAAAAATTCACAAATCATATGTACATTATTAGAGCTATTATAATCTACCTAGTATAATATATATTTGCATGAAGCTTTAGTTTTAGAATACTGGTAAAAAGCTTCATGCAAACGATTAAAAAAAAATTAAGTAACATTATTGGCTCTGCCACAAACTGATAAAAGAAACGCTCAAAGTTAAGACTGACATACCATCATAAAATAAAGCTAACATACCATCAAGAACCAAAGTTATGTATCCAAAAAATACGGCAGATGTCCCAGATTACTTTGTGACATGTACTACAATTAACTGAGTGGAGGACAATTGTCAAACTTATGTTTGAATTTCTTTGTTTTTTTTGTCAGCACTAAAATAACAACATTACTACTTATGCTGTTTAACAACCATCTCAGCAATAGGCATTTCCTGATTAGGTCGCAGCAGTCGATGACATTAACTCCAGCCAGGCAATCTTCAGGAAATGTCTAGGGAGGTGATTCATAAATTAAGCATTTTGATATTTATTTAATTTGCTGGTTTTGTGGTTTTGTTTTATCACAAGTGTGTAATGTATATGCTTCTGTACTGTGTGCAAAGTACCAGGTAGTTCTATATAATTAATGGCTGATATTTTAGCCAGTGAGACTACACAGATTATTTGTCAGCATTGTATTTAGTAACTTAAGACTGCACAAAAGCTATGTAAATCACGTTTTATATTGTCAGAACCTGGACACACATGACAAAATTTTCAAAAATGGGTGCCTAAACTTAGGCTTCTAAATAGGATTTGGAAAGATGTTGAGCATCCATAGTTCTACTGAAGTCAACAGAAACTGCTGAGTGCTCAGCACCTCTGAAAATTAGGCTTCTTATTTTAGTAACTAAGTATGAATTTGCTCTCTGTAGAGAATGCTCTTGCCATCCTAACCTGTTTTATCCCCTTCAGGTAACTTAAAGAGAAGGTTCATTGCACCCTTCATTCTAAATTCCCATATTATTATTAAACATGGTTAAGGCTAAGATTTTGGCATGGGTATTTTTAATAAAACCCATGGACAGGATGCGGGCAAAGAACAATAAATCATGGAAATACACACAGTAATGCAGTATTCACTACATCAGTACTGAAGTCCAAGCCCCGCTGCCCAGGGCTGAAGCCAAAGTCCAAGCCCCACAGGGCTCAAGTCCAACCTCTGCAACCCAGAGCCATACAGGGCTGAATTATTAGGATTTTCAATAGAATCATAGAATATCAGGGTTGGAAGGGAACTCAGGAGGTCATCTAATCCAACCCCTGTTCAAAGCAGGACCAACACCAACTAAATCATCCCAGCCAGGCCTTTGTCAAGCCAGGCCTTAAAAACCTGTAAGGATGGAGCTTCCACCACCTTCCTAGGTAACCCATTCCAGTGCTTCACCACCCTTCCAGTGAAATAGTGTTTCCTAATATCCAACCTACACCTCCCCCACTGCAACTTGAGACCATTGCTCCTTGTTCTGTCATCTGCCACCACTGAGAACAGCCGAGCTCCATCTCTTTGGAACCCCCCTTCAGGTAGTTGAAGGCTGCTATCAAATCCCTCCTCACTCATCTGCAGATTAAATAAGCCCAGTTCCCTCAGCCTCTCCTCGTAAGTCATGTGCCCCAGCCCCCTAATCCTTTTCATTGCCCTCCACTGGACTCGCTCCAATTTGTCCACATCCTTTCTGTAGTGGGGGGGGCCAAAACTGGACACAATACTCCAGGTGTGGCCTGACTAGTGCCGAATAGAGGGGAATAATCACTTCCCTCGATCTGCTGGCAATGCTCCTAGTACTGCAGCCCAATATGCTGTTAGCCTTCTTGGCAACAAGGGCACACTGTTGACTCATATCCAGTTTCTCGTCTATTGTATTCCCCAGGTCCTTTTCTGCAGAACTGCCACTTAGCCAGTCAGTCTCCAGCCTGTAGCAGTGCATACAGTTGTGGAGGTTTCATAAAAACTCAGAATCCATTATCTCCGTGACAGATTTGTAGCCTTAATGACGGTTATTACGATGGTGCCTAAAGACCAATCAAGAATAGGGCTCACTGTGCTAAGCACTATGCAAACACAGAATAGCAGACAGCTCCTGCCCCAAAGAGCTAGCCATCTAAATAGACAAGATATACACAGGAGTGGAAGGGTTATAACACATAAGCAGAGTGAACAATATCTGAATTCATTCAGAATGCCTGTATCATGGTGGTAGTATGAATGAAACTTACATTCACAACAGACTCCTTGAATTTGATGTGCAGTCTGTAATTAGAAAGTGCAATGATGGCATCCTCTGCTCGTCCCACATACTCTGTGCTCTCACCATGAAGTTCAAGGAAAGGGACCTTCAGAACAGAAGGAGAAAGAACCCTTTAGAAAACATGAGCTACAAATGTATTCCTGCTTACAAATATCCACTCAAGCTATTCATGCACACTCCCTAAGGGGGGTTTGAAACACTGCATAGTATGTGTGAGGCTGTTACAACTGGCAGTGAAGCCAGTTACGATTTTGTGCAGATGTCCATTGTAGCCTTATTTTAACATTCACAATTGCCTCATAATGATATCCATTGGGGCTCAAAACGTCCATGCTTGATCTCAGCCAAAGGTGAAATATTTTTGGAAGTTTTAGCAAAATCCCTTGAGATGTCTGAGTTATGAAAAAACTAAAACTATGTATCTTTTTTAGATGCAATTCTGCTCTGAAAAGAGACAATATAAAAATAGTACTCAATGAAACTGCTCCCTGTGTATATTCACAGTCCTATCTGCTTACTTAGGGTCACAAAAGTTTTGTTCTTGTTAACTGTGCAGAACCAATATAGCTAAGAGAAATATTTCATTCCTTCTTGTACACCAGCAAATGCACTGTTTACTAAGCTCCAATCAATTACATTGGCACAAACCCATCAGACAATGGGACTATGCAGCACGCAATTTGACCTGAAGAACCTTTATTATTAGTGATGATGACCAAGAAGGAAAACTCAGCTTGATACTCAGATCTGAAATTGAACTTGCAGGACTGGCAGCCAGAAAAAGAACAGCTGTCCTATAGTAACTACGGTTCTCGAGATGTTCATTGTCCACATGGACTGCACTTCTAACATAGTGAATGCCAGTGAAATGAGGTAGGATCAGAGGCTAAAATAGGGAAAGAACAAGTTAAAAATTACTTAGACAAGTTAGATGTCTTCAAGTTACCAGGGCCTGATGAAATACATCCTAGAATACTCAAGGAGCTGACTGAGGAGATATCTGAGCCATTAGCGATTATCTTTTGAAAGGTTTCAGAGTAGCAGCCGTGTTAGTCTGTATCCGCAAAAAGAATAGGAGTACTAGTGGCACCTTAAAGACTAACAAATTTATTAGAGCATAAGCTTTCGTGGACTACAGCCCACTTCTTCGGATGCATATAGAGTGGAACATATATTGAGGAGATATATATACACACACATACAGAGAGCATGAACAGGTGGGAGTTGTCTTACCAACTCTGAGAGGCCAATTAATTAAGAGAAAAAAAACTTTTGAAGTGATAATCAAGATAGCCCAGTACAGACAGTTTGATAAGAAGTGTGAGAATACTTACAAGGGGAGATAGATTCCATGTTAGTAATGGTTCAGCCATTCCCAGTCCTTATTCAAACCGGAGTTGATTGTGTCTAGTTTGCATATCAATTCTATCTAAACTGCTACATGCCACAAGCAGCCACAACAGTAGTTCCCTTAAACCACCCAGCCA